TGATATATCGTAAAACAAAGACCAAACCAAACCAAACTTCCACCCTCCCCTAAACTTTGTCTTGTGCCTTTCGTCTGACTGAAACATTGAAATGGATAAATTCTGTAGTAGTTTTTCAACTGTTTATTTTATTTTTTGTTATCGTTCAGAGTTAAATTTCTGTTTCTCACACGAATTCAGTTCACACCGGGGTTGATAAGGCTATTCCTCATATGAGGTGATTTGAGATTTTATTGTTTATATATATATATATATATATATATATGTGTGTGTGTGTGTGTGTGTGTGTGTGTGTGTGTGTGTGTGTGTGTGTGTGTGTGTTAATTCAGTGTTTTATCAATATAAGTGTAGTTGTGGACTCGACTACATAGGGAGGGCGTCCCAGCATTTGGATTTGAGAATAAAGCAACACTTACCTCCCACGATTTTGAATACGGATGCCAGGAAAAGCCAACTAACCAATAATCCTGGCTCTGCTATTGCTGAGCATGTAATAAATAGCAGGAAATGTGTGCTTGATTTTAGTGGTGATCGTTTTTCGATTTTATCTAGGTCCCACTCCTCATATCACCTCAAGGTTCTAGAGTCCTTGTATATCATATCCCGTGAGTCTTCCCTTTGTAAACAGAGGGAATCTTTACTGAGTCTGAATGTTATTGGACACTAGTTTCTTGAAATTCTTATTTTCCCCCCTTCCATTCGTTATAATAATTTAAATTACATTTAATTTACACACTTATATATTTTTTATATCCCAAAAAATAAACTTGACAAGTCCTGAGACGAAACCTGTTGTTCTTTTTTAGCTTTTTAAAAAATGCCATATAAATTTTGCTTTTTCGTAGCTATTGTTAAATTTTGTACCATAAAAAAACTTATAAAAACTTTGAGAGAATAAAAAAGTTCAGAGCAGATAACATTAGAAAGATTTTAGAGTCCATGAAAAATAAGTGGATACAAATTCTCTAAAAACACAATATCCAGCTGGCTAAACCATAAATTTAACAATACAGATAGTACCAATATATAACTCAACAAATCAAAACCTACCCACATTTCTCACCCACACAAGACAGACATGCTTACGGAGGTGTGAGGCACACTATACACCAACCCACCAAATATACACACTTACACACATCATACCAAATGGCCCTAATAGCCAAATGATAACACACACCTACAGCAATTACACACGCTTACACATATCATACTCATCACCCCCTAAGAACCAAATAACACACACACAAAACACTAAACAGAGACACATCCCCTCACCATGTCCAATAAAACTTTCAAACTGACCAGAGAATTCAGAGTAGCATGGATCTATCCAGTTCTTATCTCAAATAACAACTTAAAAGAGACTGTTTGACCAACACAAGGATTGTTAAAAAGATTCATGTTAAAAGATAAAAACAAAAATGAAAACTACAGACAAAAAGTTCATTTCTCCGCAAAACATTCATTTCTGTAGTTTAAAATAACAGCAAGCAGAAATATTTCTCCCGATGATGGCCATTTTGGTCGAAACTAGTCGAGGAATCTAAATGAAATAATAATAAAAAAAAACGAAAGAATATTAATCTACAACCCAGTGTGTCTAAAGATTTTAATTTTTTAATATTTTTTATTGTTCAATATATATATATATATAATAAAGACGTAAACACTAAAATTCCATGGTTATAATTTATTACATTGGAATCGTAAATACGATCCAATTCATCAGACCTACAAATTCAAAAAGAAATCAGAAAAAATAACTCCGGGAATAAAAGATAAAATTTACTGAGAGTGTATGTATGAGAGTGGGGGACGAATGTGAGAGGTAAATGAAAGCTCTAGAGAGGGGGATAACAGACGAGAGAAGAACAGGAAGGCCTAAAAGTGAAGGTGGGGATTAAAATTTAACAGAGAGAAGTTTTAAAGAGAGGAGTTAAATGACGTTTTTAATGACTGAGATACAGATAAATATGAATTATTTTCCGATACATAATTCATTACTGAATCGCTAACCTAAATTAAATTAAAAACCGACACCGGAAATGGGTTTATACATTTGTGGTGACACTACGCACAATAAAAGACGATATAATCTAAACATAAAATTCAGAAGATGAGAGAGAGAGAGAGAGAGAGAGAGAGAGAGAGAGAGAGAGAGAGAGAAAAGAAAAGAAAAAAGTGGGTCACTTAAAACTAAATGGCATTTATAAAAGAGGCGCTGTGCAATCAAGAAAATTTGACAAAAGTAATATCAAGTACAGGTTACAAATTTAATATAAACATATAAAAAATAAGGAATATTTAATCTAGCAAGGACCTACTATTTCTATGCCCCAAAACACATACGTATATACACGCATACACAACAACATATTTATATTTACACGTACATACATACATATAAGTGTGTACACACACACACACACACACGCGCACACACACACACACATATATATATATATATCCATACACATCCACTGCTGCGTATATATACATCTACACACATATACATACGGACATGTACACGCGTGCACATAAACATATATACATAAAACCTTACACACCTCCATACATTTGCATACACACACTCATCTAAACAAATATACAACCTATCTATCTATCTATCTATCTATCTAACTATACATATACACATACATACATATATACATACATTTGCACATAGACATATATACACCTATATACATATACATATGTATACATATATACCTAAACATACACACACACACACACACACACACACATATATATATATATATATATATATATATATATATATATATATATATATATATATATATATGACATCCATGACAGGCTTTTTTTTTCTTCATAATTTTAGTTCCCCGTTAACAGTGCTGATGAGAGGGGACGAAACCGGTCGACTGGTGTGTGTTTTTCGTTTTAAATCTATCATGGCCTACAATATAAAATTTATTGCTTTTTATGCCTTAATATATATATATATATATATATATATATGAGTTTGACTACGGTGTTATTGATTATCATGGAGTTTCCATCCGAGTCCTGGATCCTGGCGAAAAGTGTTATCAAGGTTCCACAGTGGAATTCAATTATGATGTTAGAGGCACAACTTTTCCAGGGGAAAGTAGTACCATTAGGCGGCGCCGTCTGGGTCATTATTGTCCCCATACGGGTATACGAGTATACGGCGTTGTTCGCCAACCCTTCATGATTGGGATCCGTGAACCGTTATTTATGTACGTTGGGTTGCCACGGATCTGCTGATTAAGTGAAATGGTATATTATAACCCTATTGAAATCTTGCGGCCTCTTCTGAAGATGAAGGATTACATTGGCGGGTGTCAGTTTATTATCAAAGATAAAATTTGGATTGATATTTTGTACAATCTGTTTTATTAACTACAGTAGCTCATAAAGTCAATGGATGAACGAATTCTCAGATTAGTTTTAAAACATGGGGCATACATTTGAAATTAATGTTGTCTTTATAATTTTCTTGTCGTTACAAAGACACTAATTACAGTGGTTTTATCAAAAGGTTTCTTGTTCTGTAATTATCATTTTTAATTAGAACATAACTTTTCTTGGAGCTTCAGTCACGTTCCTAATAATGTGGGACTCTGAAAATGTGATAACATTAATAAAACCGTTGCCATATCTTAAGAGTGACGTAGGCTAGTTTAATTCATAACTATTGCCTGAAATATTCTGCACATTTATAGGGCAAATATTTCTATGAATTCAAGTTTTCTAAAATTTAGAAATAAAATTGCCTAATCATATTTTTAAAAATCTATTAATTCTTCAAAAAATGGCTTACGATTCAAGCGCGACAATTTAGCAGATACCGGCTACGAAATGACCTAACCAGAGATATCGGTCGGTTATGTGCCATACGTGATACACGCTTAGGCGATCATTTATCTTTCGATACATGACTGACGAGGCAGATTTTTCCCGAAAGAATTCATACCCTTCCCAAGGGTACTAGCACGTAAGTGAATGTAATGGATTCAACTGGAATTCGAACTCCGCTCTCCGATTCCCCAATCCAAGCCTCCTACATCAAAAGATATATATGCTTTACAAGGATGTATTTCGTGGCTGCTTACTCTAAAACACATCGGATTTGAAAGTGGTTTACCCAATATAAACGTCAGGTATCCTGTTAAATAGACAGGGACTTAAACAACGGTATCTACTAAATATAACGTTTATCATAATATATATATATATATATATATATAGTTTTAAGGTGTGCTATATTTATGGGATAAAGTGCTCAATATAAGAGATAGAACGTATGTAAATATAGAAGTGAACAGGCCGGCCTATTATCGGTCTTTTGAATTAATTCTGTGAACGTTAGAATTGATATATTATTTTCGTTCTCATTACATTCGGATATATATATATATGTAGGAGGCACGGTGGAGTAATGGATAGCGGCTTGGATTGAGGAATCGCAGAGCCGAGTTCGAATTCCAGTCGAATCCATTACATTCACTTACGTGCTAATACCCTTGAAAGGTATGAATTCTCTCCCTCCAGCTATGGGTAAAATAGCAGAAAAAAAGGACAGACTGGGTTCTATAGCCTTGGATGGCAACTGGTCTAGGAGAAGGACAACTCTGAATTCAAAATCTACGGAGGGTCGTTTGGGAACCTTGTGGCATTCAAAATTTTCTTCTCTGTATTCGTCCCTTCAAAAAGTGTGGATGGTCCTGAACGAGGCCCTTCACCACTATAATCGAATCTCATGTTCCGGTGTGTCGGGCTGTCGGTTTCCTGGAAACTGATCTGTTTGACCCTCTACGTCGAACCCGACGGGAGAATCGATTTATATATATATATATATATATATATATATATATATATATATATTATAAATTAACTGATTTAAAACGCGATTTCTTCGCTACACAGTAATTACCATGTTTCCAAAACCGAAGCTAAAAAGTTGAAATTTAATTATATATTAAGTTAAAAGCATGTAATGTTATGTTTCATCTTTAAGCGAATTTTGGAATAACTTATTTTTTAAATTTACTGTGTCTTAAATGCACATACAATTGATAATTTTTTTGTTTCCAATCCAAGGATATAAAGAAATCCAATCATTTAGACAGGGGTGGTAGCGTGTTCATTTTTATGAACTATTATTGTATCACTTATGAGTTACGTTCGAAAAAGTGGTTAAGCTTTAGAATGGTATATATATATATATATATATATATATATATATATATATATATATATATTAAAAAGAATATTGTTTAAATTCTGAATGGATTGTTATGGCGTGGGTTGGACGTATGTGCTGGACAACTTCAAAAACATAAGTTGATGTATTTAACAGTTTTCGTTTGACTTTTGAACATTTGCGGTCGTGCATGTCCACTTGGGAAAGTAGTAATTTTTTTCAGAAAGGTGGCATTGGAATATATATATATATATATATATATATATATATATATATATATATATATATATATATATAGGTAACTATACTCGTCTCGAAACCTTCGAATTTTTTTGATTTGCCAATAATCAAATCAATCTCGAAGGAAAAAAAGGTTTTAAAAAAAGAAAGAGCTAGAAACATGAAAGTCGGTCGAAAAAATCGCACAGATACAGGTTTAAAGCCCAAAGAAAAAAAACCCGACACAAGTAAACAACTAACGACGACCCGCTTAGGTGAAACCTGGGTAGGTTTGTCTGGTTCACTAGGTTTGACTATATATATACACACACACACACACATATATATATTTCAATGCCACCTTTCCTATATATATATATATATATGTACATATGGAGTGTTAATAATAACGATAATGCCCAGATGCTACACCATCCATGGTTCTCAGGCTTATTATTGGGGGTGGGGGTTAACATCTACATGTTTTTGTCTTTGTGAATTACGATAGGCTACAGTAAATATCCCCTTTAGTACCACGGAGTTGCTTATCAGTTGCCTGACAGTAACCATTTGGATTTAATCCTGATGCACTGTGTATTTCTGTTAATGATCGGGAGTAGCAAGAAAAAATCATGTATATGAGCAGAGAAGATTAATTTTAATTTGGAGGATAAGACCGATTCAGATAATGAATATCTAGCAAAAAAAAAAAAAATTAACACACACATATATTGTGTGTGTGTGTGTGTATATATATATATATATATATATATATATATATATATATATATATATATATATATATATATATGAAGAAAAAAATATACTGAAAAACAAACAAAAAATCCTAATATGCGATTATGCTATTTTAATGTTTAATGTCAACGTCGGACGTTTCGGTCTAGTAGACCATCTTCAGGACATATTCATAAAACATAATTAACATAGACCATATACAATTCAACATGAAAAAGACGATGGACATAAAAGCAATACCAATTAAAAGAATTTTATTTTAATATTTCCCCTTTTCTAGCAAGATTAATGCTCGACAAACGTACATATAAGTTTTAGATCAAAATAAAATTATTTTCGTTTTTCATTCAAAATACTCAAATTTTAGGAATACGTTTTCACAACATCGCCCACGTGACGACGACGTGATCATATTTAAACGGAACGCTGATCTTATAGGGGATTTCAGTTATCTGTTTGGATTGGTATTGCTTTTATGACCATTTTTCTTCATACGGTCGGATCTATATCCATATATTTGCTTGCATATATATATATATATATATATATATATATATATATATATGAAAAAGTGAACATTGCAGTCAACACTCAGAGGCGACAGGCTGTTTCATGTTAGAGACAATCGTCAAGCCGCCTAGCCGATTGCGTCTAGCAATCTGATGTAGCAATCTAGTCTCACCAACGCGATCATAAACAGCAACAAGCCTGCCTTCGGTTTGGAAATGCAATCTGATAAGCCGTTCAGCCTTCCGTCCATTACCATTCGCGCAGCTGGATGTAAAAATTATATCTTCCTATTCACGATATGAATATTCAGCCGTTATTAAACGGAGCATTTCTCAGTTAATATACTAACTACACACGTTAGACGTTGAAGAAAGACTAGCCACAAATGTACGCGAATGAAAAATGTAACCTAGTCTGCATTACAAGACGTCGCCATCTACCGTAAATATTTCTTTAAAATGAATAACTCCAAAAGGTAGGATTTGTATGTTTATGTTGGCTTTTGTCCTTGTTTTGTAAAGAATATTTCTCATACTCTCTCTCTCTTTCTCTCTCTCTCTCTCTCTCTCTCTCTCTATCTATCTATATATATATATATATAAATGTAAATGACAATAGGAAAACTGTATTTATTGCTGACGCGTTTCGTCTAATGTAGACTTTAAAGTCCACATTGGACGAAACGCGTCGGCAAATATTACAGTTTTCCTATTGTCATTTTCATTTATAAATATTTTCTTTTCTACAGGTTAACTTTGAGAAATTTTCATATATATATGTGTGTATGTGTGTGTGTGTGTGTCTGTTTCTGTGGTTGTTGTTGGTGTGTGTGTGTGTGTGTCTGTGGTTGTTGGTGGTGTGTGTTTGTCTGTGTCTGTTGGTGTTGGTGTGTGTGTGTGTGTGTGTGTGTGTGTGTGTGTTAGCTGATTAACAGGAGGAGGAGTTTTAACAATTGGGGTGTCGGAATTTTTCTCAACATGCAATAAATGGTGGTGGTGGGGTAATAATATATGAAAGGTATGGTCTGAAAATTACTTAACATGAAGAAAAAGTTCGAAATTAATAAACGGTGTGGCCTTAATACAGTCGGCCTGCTTAGAAAATTTCCTCAAAAAATAAACTCCCATCCTGTCCATTGGGTACCTTACAGCAGGTTTTCCTAACCTGGGCGATATCGTGCACCGGTGGACGATTTCAAGTTTTGGGTTGGCGATGAGCAACTGAACAGAAAATGGTGGGAGATTGAAAATTTTGGCGGGAGATATACGATTTGGATTATTAAAAAGGTATTTCAGCATATGCTACACGAAAAAATATATATACAAAGCAGATATGTAAAGAATCTGTAGAAAAAATGACAGGAGGCTAATTGGAAATAACTGCGCAAACAACAAGTATTTTAATATTTTCTATAGTTTTTAGAAAGGTCATTAACTTTCATATAGTTCTTCATACGAAGAAACGATAAGGGTAAAAAATAAGAAATTATTTGCTAAATTTTTATTAGTTACTCATGTATATTCTTTTTAATATTATAATTATCAACAAAAATCGTTTAATTTTTTGTCAACATTTGCAATGCTAACACTAACCATAAAACAAACCTTTATGAAATTAAAATGAATATACAGTGAAACCTCGGTTCATGAATTTAATTCGTGCCTGAAGGCCGTTCCTAACCCGAAATGTTCGTAAACCGAAACTATTTTTCACATAGGAATCAATGCAAAATGGATTAATACGTTTCTGGTCCCGAGATGATTGCTTATTTAAACTTTAACAACAGTAATATGGGCAAAAGTTTATACGCAGAAATAATGAAAATCATTAAATCTAAAAAAAAAAAAAAATACTAAACAGATAAAATATAGATGAACATTTTAATTTTACCGTAACTGTAAATAAGAGAATTCATGGCGTAGGAGGAGGATGGTGTGGAATGGAGAAGGAAAGACATGATTGTCTTTTTATTTATAAGAATAGTTTTAGATCATTGATTTCGCCATATGAAATTGTGTAAGAAGAGACAATATCATTAACAGTTGTTTTTCTCTTAACTTTTCTTTTTCCTTTACCAGTATCATTGCTAGCTTCCATTGGAGCCATGGCTGGAGACTAATGAAGATAAAAATAAAAGGCACAGTACAATAAAATTGGAAAAGAAAAGCACAGCACAACACCCGAATCTATACAACATGGCGCTCGACTTAGAAATGATTCCGTTCGGATTGACTCAGTTCGGAAATGTTGTTCGATAACCGAAATTTTGTTCGATAACCGAAGAATTTTCATCTCGTATTTTCTGTTCGAAAACAGATTTGTTCGACATATAAGACGTTCGAGAACAGAGGCTGCTCTGTATATAGTTTTCAATGGTCAAGTTGGCTTTCGTTTGTTCGTTAATATAGTAGTAGCAGCAGAAGCAGCCGCATATCGTTGCGTTATTTGTTACCGCTCTTTAGTATTTTTTACTACATCATAAAGTCAGTTTATGAACCAGTAACAAACGTTTACCAAACAATTTTGGCATGCTTTTGAATATTTTCTATACAGGTGGGCGTTGGAAAAATTTTTCTATGTGAAAGTGAGCGATGACAAAAAAAAAGATTTAGAAATCCTTGTATTAGAACGTAAACTCATTATCAAAATTAGGGATTCTTAGTTAAGAAAATAGGAAAAATATTTCCTAACTTCTATACATATTGTTAAATGAAGAAAAAACTTTCTGATGTTATAATTGACCAATGGCAGTATTTTTCAGGGACAGCACAACACAACGTTGCCATAACATTGTGACAACGTTGGAGATGAGCGGTCAGTTTGATGTCAATTGGTTGTTTGTAACGTAACAGCAATGTCCCCACAGTATCATATATCCTGCAACCAAAATGCAGGAGGCAATCATAACAGCGAATGTCATTTGTAAGAATAAGGCTGTTATTGGCTGAATTATGATTTTCACTGTATAATATTCTGAGCTATAATTTTCACTGTATAATATTCCGTCTATATGATTGATATTTTCTGGTGACCATAATATTTCGAATAGATCGGTGTATAATAATAATAATCTCTCATCTTAGAGATTCTGATAAAAATGCTTCATCTTGAATTTTAAAGAATTTAGTGTTTCCCTGTTAAAATAAATTTCTGAGAGTGATCGCCTGTGAATTACAAATTCACTTTTATTTGTCACCAAACGTTTTGTTGAAGCACATACAATTCAGAAAATCGACATTGCCTTTTCTTTTTACGTTGCAAATAAGATAAACCTGAAAAAAAGTTTCTAGGGTTTGTGTCACGTCGACATTTCGCAAGAACATTAAGATATAAAACAAAAGATTTGTTTTTTTTCTTTTCCATCAGTGCCAATGGCAACTTCTAATAAAAGCACCGGAAAGCGCTTTTCTTTATTTTCAATGATTGTTTTTCTTCTAGATATCTTCTTTGATGTTTGATATAGGCGTCCTATTGTATGTATAAACTTTTTAACAAGAACTATATAGGGAAAAGAACAGTATAAACAAAATGTTAACTTTCAATAATATCGAAGACAAAAAGGCACGGAAGGAAACTTCAATCACTTTTAGAAAGTGTTATAATAGTTGATTTGAGAAATCTGATTTCCTCAAAAACAGTTTTAAGAAAATCATTGTGTATATTATAACAGGAAGTAAACTTAAATATTCGGTCAATCAATTTCGATTTCGTCTTGTATTATAATTTCGATAGGAAAGCGTTAGAAATGATTTTGCTATAGTAAAATCGAATTGCCTAAAAAAAAAAAAAGAATGGTTTTGAAAAAAAGATTAGAGTTGAGTTGAAATTAATACATGCAAGATTTTACATTAATCCTGCAAGATTTCAGCCTCTTGCCTCAATCCTTGAAATAATCAGCTTTAATGGTATCAATCCTCATGTTCCAGCCTCACTCGTACCGGGAAAGGAAGAATGCAGTTAATTGTAAGAACAGTTGAAATTAATACCTCCTCATAGTCAAAAAGGAAGAATGCAGTTAATTATAAGAACAGTTGAAATTTTACAGCTCTGGTATCAATCCCCTCATATGCCCTACGAAAACTTTCAGCCTCACTCGTACCGGGAAAGGAAGAATGCAGTTAATTGCAGTTGAAATTAATAGTTTTAGGCTCTGGTATCAATCCCTCATAGTCAGCCCTTTCACCCTCGTACCGGGAAAGGAAGAATGCAGTTAATTATAAGAACAGTTGAAATTAATATATGCAAGATTTTACAGCTCTGGTATCAATCCCTCATAGTCAGCCTACGAAACTTTCAGCCCTCACTCGTACCGGGAAAGGAAGAATGCAGTTAATTATAAGAACAGTTGAAATTAATACATGCAAGATTTTACAGCATCAATGGTATTTCAACTCCTACCGGGAAAGGAAGAATGCAGTTAATTGTAGTCAGTTGAAATAATACCAAGATTTTCAGCCTCAATCGTATACCTTTCAGAAAGAAACAATGTGGTTATTTATAAGAAGCGTTGAAATTAACGCATGCAAGTTTTCACAGCTCCCACATCCTTCTTTTGCAATCAGAGTATGAATTTTTCAGCCCACAATTTCATTGCTTTTATACGCGTTTAAATGAGCTTATGTATCAGGTCGATCTATATCTAAGAAATTATCTTCTTTTTTATTGTTTGTCCATACAACAAATAATGGCAAATGAGAATTAATATTGTTATAAAAGTCATTTTATTCACTGAAATGTTTACCCTATACAAGCCTTAATAGCCATTCAAAGTATAAGATTATTGAGTGAGGTTGTTGTATGGGCGTAAAAGGAAGAAGTAAGCGAAGATTATGAGAATATGTAGGATAGATAGCAGTTGACCTGAGACTTGAAGAGGTTAAGATTGTATAAAGATTGGGGAAACATCCTGTTCAGGAGCCATGATCGGATGCGGTACAGAGAAAAAGACTCAAGGAAAAATAATCCATCGTCATTGTAAGGTTTTACTACAATTCCGTATTATCTTTTCATGTTGGTATAAAACAGAAATTTGTGCATCGTCATTCAAGACTTGAATGAAGAAGAATAGGGTGCGATAAACGAAAAGGAACAGGAAAAGAAAGAGGAAGACGCGACTCAGAAGAAGTAGGAAGAGGAAGAGGAGGTATAGATGAAGGAAGCGAGCGAGGTGCAGAAGAACAGGAGGAGAAAGCAGAGGAAGGGGGATTAGTAGGCAAAAAAGGTGGAGGAGAAGGAAGGTGACGAAAATGATGAGGAATAGAAGAACGAAGACGAGAAGCAGAAGAAGTAGGAGGAGGAGGTATAGAAAATGGAAGCAAGCGAGATGCAGAAGTATAGGAGGAGAAAGCAGAGGAAGGGGAATTAGAGGGTGAAAAAGGTGAAGGAGGAGGAAGGTGACGAAAATGATGAGGAATAGAAGAACGAAGACGAGAAGCAGAAGAAGTAGGAGGAGGAGGGGCTATAGAAGAAGGAAGCGAGCGAGGTGCAGAAATATAGCAGGAGAACGCAGAGGAAGGGGAATTAGTGGGTAAAAAAGGTGAAGGAGGAGGAAGGTGACGAAAATGATGAGGAATAGAAGAACGAAGACGGGAAGCAGAAGAAATAGAAGGAGGAGGAGGAGGAGGGGTATAAAAAAAGGAAGCGAGCGAGGTGCAGAAGTATAGCAGGAGAAAGCAGAGGAAGCGGAATTAGTGGGCGAAAAGGGTGAAGGAGGAGGAAGGTGACGAAAATGATGAGGAATAGAAGAACGAAGACGAGAAGCAGAAGAAGTAGGAAGAGGAAGAGGAAGAGGAGGAGTCATATACGTGTAGGAGGAAAAAAAAAAGAGGAAAGGGGATTATTGGGCGAAATAGCAGAAAGGTGACGAAAATGACGAGAAGGAAGGCGGATAAGAAAAGCAAGAGTAGTAGTAGTAGGAAGAGTAGTAGGAGAAGGTCTGGAAGAAGGAGGTGGACGAAGTGTAGAACTGTAAGAGGAGTGAACGAAAACAAGCAGAAGAAGTAAGGGTAGAGGGAAGAGGATGGCATATAAAGGAAGGAGGCAAACCAGATGTTGAAGTTTAAGAGGAGAAAGAAGCAAAAAGGGAATAGTAGGCGAAAATGGACGAGGAGGAAAATGACGTGGGATAGAAGAAGGTGAAGAAGAAAACATTTCGTAGATTGTTGCTAAGTTGTAGGACAATACCACATGCAGAAAGATCGAGAAGCCCGTCCGCCCTCATGGTTAGACAAATTAGAGCCTCGTTGACCATGTCTTATGGCACCAACGAAAAACTGTAGTATAAAAAGAATAGTCTATCTAATCTACAAGAGGCAAGAATCATAATGCAAAGTAGACAGAACACTATGATAATAGAAAAATAGATATGGGGTTTTTGTGCATGCAAATCAAGCAAGATTGCAACACAGTAGTGAGGAAGAAATGTCTAGTGAACCTATTAAATAAGAAGGCGAAAGTATCGTGTCAAGGCAAGACAAATTGGACAATGAAATTGAGAGTAATATAGACTCTGAAGATGAAAAAGGACAATCTTTGGAGGAACACATGAAGAAATGTCTAGTGAGCCTCTTAAATAATGAAGGCGAAAGTGTCGTATCAAGGCCACACAAATTGGACAGTGAAATTGAGAGCAACATAGACTCTGAAGATGAAAAAGCACAATTGTTGGAGGAACACTCCTATGAAAAAAGAAAAAGATCATGGTCTCCCATATTTAGACAATCTCTTAAGGAAAGGGAGGAAGATAGTGAGGAGAAAAAAGCTCCCAGAAGTAGTACCATGGAAAATAAGGGGATAAAACCTCTTCGGTACAGGAAGATGAGGCGAATCATTTACATATGACGTCACAAAGATTCTAAGTATCTACTGCCTTTATCCATGAAGCAGCTGAGTAGATAACGTGAATCTGTAAACTACACTCTAGGTCCAGTTCTTTGTTTGCAACTTTGCAGCACTGGTCCAAGAAGCTCGAAGAATAATGGTCCTCGCTTAGACCTAAATGTTTCATTATCCTGCAGCAGCCATTTTTCAACAGTTATCTGAAAAAGCGATTGCATACAGTTGATAATTTAAGGAGGACCGGGAATGTGACGAAGATGTCGGGGTATAAAAACATAAGGGAAGAAGACAAGAAGCAGTTGAAAAAAAAAAAGAAGACATAAAGAAGAGATAGGAGGAGGCGGAGGACGAGGAGTAAAAATGTAAGAGGAGGAGGAAGAAACAGAAAGATAAATATTAGTATAAAATGGAAAAGAAGGAAGACGACGAGGAAGGGAAGAATAAGGTGAAAAAAAAAAACAAAGGAAGTCGAAGAAGAAAAAGAGAAATAATAGACGAAAATGGCGGATGACAACGACAACAAGATGTAGAAGGAAATGGAAGCGGATTTGCACAAGAAAGATTAATTTAAAAAGTACAGCGATGTTTCTTCGTAAAAATTGTCCATTAAGAAAAACGAAGAAAAACGAAGAAAGAAAAAACGCAGACAATCAGAAAAATAATAATGCTTAGTCAAATTTAATTGTCTATACTTACGTATACTTGAGAAAAAAAAACTAACCGTCGACCATAATTAATTCTGAGTCGTGTAACAGACAAGAAAATATTGTCATGAGTCATTAAGAGCTTAATTAATGCTTGATTCGTAAAGTTTGATAAAATATTTTCCTCAACATAATTAAGACACAAATAAAAATGAATACATAGATATATACATTCAGAAATCGATGCATATATACAAATATAAACATATATGTTTATGTGCATATAATTATATATTTATGTGCATATATATATATATATATATATATTAGAAGTAAACCAGGTCTACGGAAAAAGCGAAGAAAGAAAAAAATATAAATAAATGATATAAAAGAAAAGGAAGGAAACGAAAAAAGTCACCAACCAGGTAACATGGCACTCATCAAGCGAAAAAGGAAAAATGACACACTCATACCACAATATATAAATAGAAATAAAATCGAGAAATATCAGCAGAATAGTTCAACTCAGCTCTGAAGAGTAGACATATATCTACGTGACCACGAAACTTCGAAGTCAGCATGACAGAAATACTGCCCAGTTACGTGAAAAAAAACTTTATCATATTGATTCTATTAAAGCTCTAGCTCCATATTGAGCCCTCTACCGCAAAGCTTGTTTGCCTTAAATACCCTTCTATCAGCAAACACTGACAATTCAGCAACGTTGGCTTCAAAACAGTTTCAAATTATATATATATATATATATATATATATATATATATATATATATATATATATAAATGTTATATCAGAGTTTATGAACTTTCATGTTGATTGACTGATTTTAACCTGGGTCTTACCACATTTCACCATTCCTGGCAGGTGTATAATCACAGTGTCGGTAAGCTAACAAAAATTGATGGAAAGAAAAAAACTCTAAATGAATTCGGCTAGATGAAAAAAAAAAAAAATTTAAAAATCCGCCATCCCTCGTTCGTGAGCATGCGTAAGTCGTACCAACTTAACAAATTTAGTCCGCTGAATGACGAAACGCGTCACAGGTAAACTTTTTCCACTTTTTCATACAATTTACCTATATATATATATATATATATATATATATATATATATATATATATATATATATATATATATATATATATATATATATATATATATATATATATATATATATATGTGTGTGTGTGTGTGTGTGTTGTGTTTGTGTGTGTGTGTGGTGGAGGTGAGAGAGAGAAAATATATGATATATATATATATAATATATATATGAAGAAATATGCTCTTAAGGTTATGCTATATTTATGGGATAAGTGCTCAATATCAGAGATAATTAAGTGAATGTAAATATAAAAAGTGAATATTGAAGTCAAAACTTAGAGCGACAGGCTGTTTCACGCAATAGACCTGGACAATCATCAGGCCTGACGATTGCGTCTAGCATGGCATTCATATATATATATATATATATATATATATATATATATATATATATATATATATATATAATAGGGATACATCTATTCGGCTAACAAAATGAGGTTGTTGCATCGTTTCTATAACGTTACAGAGAGTTTGAAAACGTTTTTTGTAGACTCCACAACGTGCCTGAAACGTTACAAGTTAACATCGCAAATACGTTGCCTTGTAACGTTGCAAATACGTTGCCTTGTAACGTTGCATTAACAGAAAATAGATAATAAATTCCTGGAAGATAATAGAAAACGGTTTCCCAAACAGGACGATATCGCCAACCGCTGGCCGATCTCAACAGTTGTGTGGGTGATGGTCAACTGAACAGAAAATGGTGGGTAATTGGAAATTTTTTTCAGGATTTTGAGTATTAAAAAGGAATTTCAAGATATGCACCCGAAAAAATATTCAAAGAAAATATTCAAAGAATGTCTATAAAAGACAGAAAAATTCAGAGGGCTGAAAAGGAATAACTGGGTCACATTCCCAGTCAAGATGCAAACAAAATACCCGCAAACAACGAATATTTTGGTATTTTCTATAGTTTTTAGAAGGGTCATTAACATTCACATAGTTCATCAGACGAAATATCATTTTTTTCGGGTATAAATCAGATAAGGGAAGACAACAACAAAAACATATTCACTTAAATTTTATAAGTTACTAATAGTTTATATTATTTTTAATTTTATAATTTGAATAAAAATCCTTTAATTTTTTGTCAACACTTGCAACATTACCCCTAACCATAAAACAAACCTTGATCATGAAACTAAATTATATATATATATATATATATATATATATTATATATATATATATAATGATATATGCGTACACCTGTGATCCCTTCACTGGAATATGAATGGCTGGTGTCCGTCATAAATACCGACGGACGTGTAGGAGAGTCAAGAGCCTAGTCTGAGAGCTAAATCTATAACGACGCCCATTGGACTACGCCATTGATCTACACTTCTTACCTGCGACTACGACGCATACCAATCGATTACTGCTACCATATTCTACTTGGTTATAGTAGTCAAAACCACTTAGCTACTTCGTTCAAATATATCCCTTTCCGGGACATATCAATATATATATAGTTTTAATGGTCAGCTTTGCTTTCGTTTGTCCTTTAATATAGTAGCAGCAACAGCATCCTTATATGTTTACGTTATTTGTTACCTCCTTTTGGTATTTTTTTACTACATCATAAAGTCAGTTTATGAACCAGTAACAAACATTTACCAAACAATTTTGGTATGCTTTTGAATATTTCCTATACAGGTGGGCGTTAGAAAATTTTTTTCAATGTGAAAGCGACCGATGACAAAAAAGGGTTGAGAGTCCTTGTATTAGAACATAAATTCATTATCAAAATTAGGGTTTCTCAATTAAGAAAATAGGAAAAGATATTTCATACGTTCCATACATATTGTTAAGTGAAGAAAAAGTTTTTCTGATACTATAATTGACCAGTGGTGGTATTTTCCAGCTACAACACTACACATAGTAGTTGCCATAACGTTGTGACAACGTTGAAGATGAGCGATTAGTTTGGAATCAGTTTGGGGTCAGTTGGTTGCTTGTAACGTTACAGTAACGTCGCCACAGTATCGCATATCCTGCAACCAAGCAAACATAATGGATGGCATTTTCCCGAAAACACAATTTCTTTGCTGATTTCAGCCTGTTGTAACGTTGTCTTTGTTCACAATAGCTGAGAATTTGAGAGAGTATCGAAGGAAGATAAGTCTAGGTAGAAACAAAGAAGACGTTCATTAAATACTAATACATCCTCCTCTAATATGTCAACTTTCCATATTTA